ATGAAGAGAAACATTTTCCTAAAAACACACTTCAACACCAAGTGCCTCCAATAAAAACAAAACAAGCAACCCATAAGACAACTGCTCATTTGGTTTCCAATTTTTCATATAAATAGATATTAGTCTAAAACCTCTCTAACCTTTCGCTTATACTTATTACAATGAGACATCTTTTTTTACAGAGCTTTAGCGATCCATATCCAACATAATGAAAAATAAAAGGACAACTGGACAAGCTATTGTTCAAAAACATTTCTGCCATTTTTTACACACGAGATATTCACATTCAAGCAATTCAAGGTCCAAACAAAACTTGAGTTTTTGCTTTGTAATTCTTCTAGAATGCATAGAGAGCCCACGCTGGGCATTTCTGGGCATTTTAGAACAAAGGTATGGAAGACGTGCACAACATTTGCAATAATCATATTAAAAGTACATATATTTTTACTTTGTTCAGTGACTAAGATTCTAATATGCATTCTGAATAATTCTCCTTGTGTTAGATACCTCTCACACAATAAAGAGTAAAGTTTTAAAATATAAAATATTTTCCAAGACCAAATATGCAAAATTTGAGGTTTGATGAATCCTATATGTAGCCGTATACCTGCATTAAATATTCATGCTTAAGTATAGTTTGGACGCTCAAACAAGGGATAAAGATGCCTCAAAAACACAGTCTATTTCCAATTTAATCATTATGAACTGACCCCAAGCTTTTGTGCAAGTGAGAGACTTCAAATTATTCAATTTTCTAACTATTCGAAGAAATTTACCAAGTTCACTAACACCTCCCTCTGCCCCCAAAAGAGAGAGAAAAAAAAAAAAAGAGCGACCATCTCAAAAATTAATGAATAATAGACTATTGCAAGCAAACTCAACTACTAGTAGAGCAGTAAATGCTAAATCTTCATCTGTTCATTAGAAGCCTCTATTCATAAAACAAAATATAGGACCAAATAACCACCATTCATATGCATAAATTACATTCATCATCCAAATCTCAAATAGTATGCCTCAACAAAAACCAAAAGACAAAGAAAAGAAAGAAAATTTCACGACAGGTATGAATAAATTCAATTCATAATTAAAAAGTAAACACAAAAAACTTGGAAATATACGAACCTGAACCAGATAGTAAAAGATGCGGAGGCCTTCGGGATCCTTGCTTGTCTGCACATCCATGAGAGAACCAATCTTCGAAGTCGTAAACGAGATGTGCTCGTTCCCCATTACAATCTCCAGCTCCTGCCTCCCCACACGGTCGGGCTCCGGCCAATTATTATCGTCCTCCTTCATTATCTGCAACCCAACATACTACTATTATTTTCAACGAAAACCCTAATATTCGAAAATAAAACAAAAAAGTAGCGAAAAAAAAATCCTCCAATACCAATTAACAACAACATTATAATGTTATCGTGACAAAATCCTTAAAACCCTAATGGTATAAAAATGAGTCCAGAAGATCGGAAATTCAAAAGGCAAGGCGGCTTACCTCGGAATCGGAGACAATGCGGCGACACTCCTTGAGGACAGAAGGGGTCACAAAAACCTCCTTACGGATCATTGTGTCGTTCTTGTAGTTAGAGTTATTGGCGTACCGCAGCTTGCCATCGGGCCGGAACTCGAATTCTAGGAATTCGTGGCCGAACTTTCCCTTGTGCCCCACGTAGTAGCGCAGATAGAACTCGTCGTTTTCCTCCATGCCTGCCATTGGTTGCTTCGAGAGTTCTTTGAGATTTTGAGCAGTCTGCGCTGAAGGAGGATTAATGGTTCTTTGAGAAGCAATTTAGTCCTGTTTGACATTCAATTTTTTTCCTTCTTTTTCGTTACTCATTTTTTTTCATACATTTTTCATTAAAATAATATTACACGTAAATTAAAAATAATTTTTTATTTTTTAACCACACATTTTGCATCAATTACTATTCAATAATACATTTTTTTTTCAAATTAATGGGGCATAAACGAGCCTTAAAAGACATTTTGTTATTATTCCTTATTATTTTAATTGGTTAATTTTACAAATGATCACTAAACTTATCTAAAAATTACAAAACGATCACTATAGTTACAAACTTACAGAAACGATCACTTAACTTACAAGTACTTTCACTAATGGTCACTGAAGTTTACAAACTTATAGAAACGTTCACCATTAGAACCGTTATAATTTTAACTCAAACTCAAAGGACCAAAACACCTGAACATAAAATCTTGGGGACCTCAAGTACAAATTTCAAACCTTAAAAACCTTACAGCCACACGGTGGCATCTTGGCGCCCATCACTAGCGTCGCAGCGCCGCAATGAATCCATGTGCTGGTGCCGCATTGCCCAGGGTTGGCGCTACAAATTGTCTCTACTATTTTTCTGCTTTAACTGGATGCATCTCGTTTCCTCTTCTTTGTTTTTTTTCCTTCTTCATTCACTTGGCTTCCTTTGTTCCTTCTTTTCCCTACTTCCAACACCTAACACATAACACTAAACCATATGCTAAGACGGCTAAAACTCGTAAGAACGAACTAAATAGTAAGCTTAATGTCATTGATATTATGAGTGAAATATCACTCATCACATATAACGACTCGCAATCTTCTACATTTCACCTTAAAAATTGACAAAAACTATATGGTTGCAATCAAAATAGAGTTCGTTGACAAAAAACATATAATAGACTTCAACCGGCGTCATTTCGTCATCAAGTTGTTCCATGCTTCGCTAAGAGTTGCCGTCATGTTCAAACTTCCACTGGCTCTTGGCCTTCGCTGAGGTATAGATCCCTTCTTACTGAAATTGGTTCTTGGTTTTGGTATGAAAGATGTCGAACCAGTCAAACCCTGTTTGTCTAGCACTGTCGATAGGTTGGGAAAGAAAATGCCGCCCAACACCTTGTTTAATTCCAGCAGTAGTAGTCAGCTGGGAATAGGCAAATTGTTGTCCAACATTTGCTCTTGTAGCTTCCCATGCCCTCGGACCATTTATGTCCTCCCACAATTTATTAAAAAGGACCTCAACCAACATAATAATTAAAACAAATACAGGATATACATATATGATTATGACTTAGTATATACCTCATTTGTTGTGTAGCTTGCCTACGAAGCACGGTTCGAGTGGCGTCTTTTATTGTGCCACTTTTGACTGCAAATACTACATTTCAATCTTTTCTTGCCATCACCTCTCCTATCAATCTTCTTCATCTTCTCTTTGGATAATAAAACTTCCTCAACTCCTCTTTGGTGCTTTGTCTGCTTCATGCCTCTTTTTTTGTCACCCAAGTTGGGGGTTTTACTGAGTCGAAGCCACTTGAAGGTCACATTTTTGGTCTATTTATAGGGTATATGCAATTCCCATAAACTTTTATGTAAGTTGCAACTTTGTAGCATCCACAAACTGCAAAGAATTCTTACCCCACTCACGGAAGCCGACTGTTGCGTGTGGACAATGCACACCAATTAGATCTCACTTTCTACATAAGCATGTCCTTCTTTGTAAATCTACCACAAATTGACCATTAGAATATGGTCCAGAAACTTGAATTTGCATTTTCCCATTGAATATTGCTTTCCACGAAAAAGAATCACATGTACTATTTTCAAGTTTCTTTAAAAATTTTGGACATATATCTCTAGAACTTTTGCCATCAAATCGCAGCGTTTGTACATCCGTCCACACCATGTTTTGAATTAACTGAAGAAGAGTCCAAATTTCCTTCATCCTCGCTTCCTTTTTGTAGTTGTTAAAGCATTCATAGAGATTGTTTAATAAAACGTCACATTTGCAAGCCGTCATGAAATGGGACTTCAGCCATTGCTCAGTTGGTTTAGCACATAGCTACTCCCAGGTAGGCTTCTCCTCCTCTTTAATTTTGTCCATTCAATATGTAAACTCAGCCAAATAAGTAGACTTAGCTGTTCTCCAGAACAAATCCCTAAGTTTCAACTCTTTAAAGTTTTTGTGAAAAAAGTTAGAGCACATATACCTTACACAAAATTGATGCTTGACCATTGGAAACAACTCGAACACCATATTCTCCCATCTTTTCTGTCTATTAGACATAACTGTGACTTCGTATGCATTTTTTAGCGTCAAATCTTTTCCAAATATTTTCAAAAACCACAACCAACTAGCATTACTTTCAGTTTCAACAACGGCATGCACAATTGGGAATATACAATCATTCCCATCAATACCCACCGCGGCAAGTAACTGACCACTAAAATTGTCTTCCAAAAAGTACCCATCTATGCAAATAACAGGTCTAGAACCACCCAAGAAGTCCTTTTGTAAGCATCGAAGCAAACATAAATCGCCTTAAACACAAGCTCGTCTAAAGATAGTATAACATTTTATCCTGGGTTTGTTTTCCTAACCTCAACTGCATACAAACCCAACGAACCAAATTGCCCAACTAGGAATTCTTTAAGCAACTCCTTAGTGTATCTCCTAGCCCTCCATGCCTTTGTATCACTAATCTCTACACTATACTCTTTCAAAACATATGCCTTAAACAATTTGACATCCCACTTTAGCACAATAGTAAAGGTCTTAATATATCTACGGGCTAACCAACTAGCAAATGCACTTATATTCTTCAATGCTTTAGTACAGGTATGATTCCACTCGAACGATTTAATCTGCCATGATGAATCTTCCTCCAACAACGAAGCCCAAATTCGCCATGGACACTTTTTTCCTTTGCAACTACCTTCTAATCTATATCTATCATTATATGGGAAGACCACCTCAAACAAATTATGAATGCTAAAGTTTTTAACCACAACATTTACCTCTTTTTTATACCTAATCTTCAGTCCTACCTCAAGCACGTGATCTACCATATCTACTTCACCATTAAATTCTGTGTATGTAAAAACTTCGTCACTATCAGAATAAATGCTTTGAAAGTTATTTAAGGGTGCATATTCAGAATTGTCAGATTCATCTACTGCTTCCAACGACACTATTTCATTCCTCATATTGAGTTCAATATTCTGGGTAACATTTTCCTCAAAAAGAACATCGTCTTCTTCACCAAGGCTATAATCGAAATCATTGAATGTGATGACTTTTTTATCCGAATCACCGTTCAAATAACCTAGACAATAGGAGATTATAAATTTGTTTAGCTGACAATATAGTGAAAATTAAAAATCTATAAGAACCTACTGAATTCTAAAATTTACTGCACAAACGTTTCAAAGCAAAAAAGAAGAAGAAGATCCAACTAATGTACAACTCACATGAACTGACAATCATATTAATGGAGACTTTATGCTATTTCAACACAAAAGACCCAATTAATGTGGCCCTAAAATCTGTCCAAAGTTATTTTATGCGAACAATATAGACAAAAAAAAGGTTAAAAAAAGAAGTGCTAACCTTCATCTTGCTCCTCCACATTCGACACATCGAATAAATTTTAGAAGATTGTGGTCCCCACTATTCGATTTTCATAGAAAAACTGCAGAAATATGAACTATCTCGTGCGATTTGATGGGAGTTCTCGATTGGAAGCTCACCTAGGGATACTTTTGGGTTTGGGGGGTTTTAAGGTTTGAAATTTTCACTTGAGGTCCTCAATGTTCTATGTTCACGTGTTTTGATCATTTAAGTTTGAATTAAAATCAAAACAGTTCTAATGGTGACCGTTTCTGTAAGTTTGTAAATTTCAGTGATCGTTAGTGAAAGCGCTCGTAAGTTAAGTGACAATTTTTGCAAGTTTGTAACTCCGGTGACCGTTTTGTAATATTTAGGTAAGTTTTGTGACCATTTGTGAAATTAACCCTTATTTTAATTATTGTAAAATTAGGCTAAAAATTTCTTTTCTTTAAAATTTAAAAACATAAAAATGTTAAAAAAAGAAAAATTGTCTAGACTCACATAAGGTGCCCTTAAGCTCGTATTAGTTGCCTCTTTTAGTGCCTGGACCCATATTATAGACAAAAAAAAAAAAAAAGTACACCTGGAAAATGATAGCATTAAATGGGAATTGGACAATTCTTCTCAAACATAGCCACGTAGCCCTGTTTTTCTAGCAAATCTCAAGGGAATTTGGAAATCCCAAATTAAAAAAAAAAAAAAAAAAAAGAAAAAAAAAAAGAGTTGACTATCATATTAATATGTGGGCCTTCTTCACGCCAAAATTCACCTAGATCTATCTCTCAAAACACGTTATAGAAGTACTTTAAATTTTAAACGAGGAAGAGCTTAAGTACAGATATTGGGAACAAATTCACAGTACATTAAAAAGATTTACTAATTTCGAACTTAGTTTTAAACCTTTTTATGCTCAAATATTGTTTTAGATTTTTTGAATTCTTACATACATTCCGCCATCGAGTTTCACCATCGTCACCACTGCTTGTATTTTGTTGCCAATTTTCATATCTATTGATGTTGCCACCATCGTCAACATTCAGTGTTATATCAATATCGCTAATGTTTCCACCATTTGAAAACTTCATTGTAATGCCGCCACCATTGAATCTACTATTTATAAAATTCATTGTTTCATCAATCCCTTCATTTCCATCATCGTCGCCGCCACCACTACCAATGCCGTAGCAAACAATTACATTCCTTGATAAAAAAAATAAAAATACTTTCAATATTTTTAGACATTAATGTTGGAAAATTATTTAATTTGCCGTGTGAACCAACATATGTAATTAATTAAGTATAAAAACTATTTTAAAATTAAGCTAAAAATTAAAGCGATCTAATAAAGAGTTATGTAATTGGGTTTACGACATCTAAATAAAGTGCGGGCTAGATTATATGTATAGAGACTATATTCCTT